TTCTGTCCAATAGCCACAACCTTTCTATTGAATAGAAGTAACATTTAGCTAAATAAGAAGTAATATATTTTAAAGAACAATTATATTCAGCATAATGCACTAGTATGCTAACACTTCAGATCCTGGAAGTGTAAGCCATGCTACTTGATTTCTACATTCCACTGCAAAAGTTTATTTAAAGCAAAAGTTTATTTAAATTATACTTAACCTTCCTGTGTTGTGGCAAACCCCCCCCTTATTCCTCACCAAAAGAGCAGAACTTCGAGATTGAAAAATTGGTTAACTCTAATTCCTTTTAAGAACAAACTTGCCCTTTCTAAGAGGCAACTTCTATAGTAACTTCTTTTTTAGTACGTTTGCCAAATATTGAGTGGTAAGTGTATGACTAGCTTAAACTACTTTATGATTATGGTGGAAAAATAGAGCTTCTAATTGATTTCACTTGTCTAATATGCTTATAAAAATAATGTACATTGAAATGATTATTATTGGCACTAAGGCATTTGCACTGTAAACTCATTTGAATAAAGCAGACTAACTACTGGAACTGTCACAGCTCTGTTGAGAAGCGTTAAGAAGCAGCAGTTATTCTCCAATGCAAAATACTACATACAATGATTAAAATGCTAATTAGCTGCTGCAGTGTCCAGCTGGATGTTTTCTCGATGCAGCAAATAGTAAGTCATATTATATTTCTTTTGAAACAAACAGCATCTTCCATGGGATTCTCTGAATGTCAAATCCTATTCCTTGAAGTTGCTCAGGCACAGTTGTTCAAGTAAAATTTAGTTCTGCAGAAGGAAGCAACACCTTTTTCTAATGTAAGGCTGTGGCAATTATACTTTGTTGCAAGTGTGTTTAGTGTGGAACTAAGTATATGTCGCTATTGACTTTTACAATAAGAAACCCCAAGACAACACAAGGCAAACATTTAAAATATCAAATTAGCAGCTGTTACAGTGTGTTTAATCACCCAGTCATGCATCATAAAATTACACATTTTGACCACTCCATTTTATAAAATGCAATATAAAAATAAATTTTGTCAAAATAAAATGTACACTTAACCACCCAACACCTCTAGGCCCACATACAACAGAAGGCAAAATTATTAGTTTGAATAACACTATGATTAACTCATGCCAAAGTGAGATTTAACAAAAAAAATACTTCACCCAGTTCCTGAAAATACCTCAGGGTTTGTAACACCCATTTGCAAGAGTATAAATTCAAGTACTTTTATGTACAGTATGCAGCTACCTTTTGTCCCACTTAATGCCAAAAGCCATGGCTGCCCAATGCACTTCAAGTATCTTTCCTTATTATGTGTTGGATTTGGCAGGGATGGCTTATGTACTGGGCAAGGCATATAACCTCTGGAAACAAAGTTATTTCAAGTGGAAAAAAGAACAGATCAGTTTCAGTGCTGTGAAAAAAAAAAAACCAAACAAAAAAACTCCCTGTAAGCTTTTCCCAAACAAACAAACAAAAAAACTCCCTGTAAGCTTTTCCTATCTCTTATCTTGCAGATAAGGAGACTCTATACTTAAAACAAGTGTTTATTTTTCAAATGCTGACATGAGAAATTTTGGGAACAAACCAATTTCTTTGCTAGTAAGCATTAAAGCTGAAAGAGCATTCTCAGCTCAGTAGTCAGGTGCATATAAGACAGCTGTGCTTTCTATAAGACAAGCCAAGCACTGGTTACAAACCTAAAAAAGGGTAGAGATACAGCTTAATAAAGTTGCAACTCTCTCTCTCTGAGTTCTAAAGCCAAGAAAGAGCAAATTAGGAGTAACGGTTAGATGCTTGACAAAAGTAAGCCTGGCTTAGTTCAAGCATCCTGACAACTGCCCAGCAGCCAGCTTTAAGAAAAAGAAGTTCTGGAGGCATAACACGGGCTATTTTCAGCATTGATAATGTAGCCTTATTATTATGTTTAAATCATATGCTTTATTCTTAGTTTCTCTGTGAGGAGAGGAGAAAAGGGGAGGGAGAGATGGATCTAGTTTGCCTACTATTTAAGGCATGCAAGAGAATACAAAAGCCTGAAAAAGGGTTTGGTTTCTGTAGAGGTTCCTCAGCCTTCTGAACACCACTAGATTTTTTTTCTTCTTCTTTGAAGGACACTGAATTGAATTTCGACTATTCAGCCTCCCTCTATAGTAGTTACATAAGGGGATCAAAGTAGCTGTTCTTATAGGTTAACTGTCAAAAAATCCACCACCACTGAACCCTGCAGCACAACTAAGGAAAGAGTATCAAATACCAGTCGTGCCTTCACCTCTAGGAAAAATGGTCCATCCTACTTTTTTTTTTTTTTTAATTGTACATTGTGGCTGGAATTAAGAGGCACTAAAAGAACATAACCACCAGTCTCTACGTTCCAGCAGTTAAACAGCGTGGGCAGCCACTTACCTTTCTAAGTCCTGGTGCTGTGTGCTACACTAAGGAAAGAGTATCAAATACCAGTCGTGCCTTCACCTCTAGGAAAAATGGTCCATCCTACTTTTTTTTTTTTTTTAATTGTACATTGTGGCTGGAATTAAGAGGCACTAAAAGAACATAACCACCAGTCTCTACGTTCCAGCAGTTAAACAGCGTGGGCAGCCACTTACCTTTCTAAGTCCTGGTGCTGTGTGCTACTGTCTTGCTATGTGGCACAAAGAACTGAATTAGTCTGCAAAACACGTAGCACATTCTGGTCACAAATGAGGAGGAAGTTGCTAGCAGTACTCTTTTACCTTATTTTAAGTAGCTGAAAATGGTACGGGTTTTTTCCTGCACTAAAGGTAATGGCTGTCAACGAAGAGTAAGAATTGACTTATAAAGGTAGGAAAAATCAGATGCTTTCAGTGAGGGAAATTAATCTCTTCCCACCTTTATACTAAAACAGTTCAAGGGATGAGTTCCCGGCTCCCACAAATTCTGAATTACGACCCAGAAAAAAGCTTCACGGTGGTTTACCCCTTTTCAAAACCCAGTCTGCTTTTAAAATGCTTGGACAACAGGTATGGTGTTTGCTACCCCCTAGTTCCAGGATGAGGTCTGCTGCCAGATCAGGAAGTCATTACGGTGGAAGAGGAGTCTTTTTTGGCAGTGTAATCATGCTGTAGGGGGACCGAGAGGAAGGCAGACGTTCAAAACAGAGTTTGGCACTTTGAAAAATGAATGTCTGAAATCCTCAAGATGCTTTAGTTTTCTATTTACATAAACATAACTGGTACCTATAATCACACTTGGCACTAAATAAAGATTTCATCCAGAGAAAGTGCTCTAGAGATAAGTCTCCAGTTAGAAGGGATGTTCTTTGTCACCAAAGACTGAAGTAATTGGGTGTGCTTTCCTGGTCCTAGTGAGGTTTCCCATCTCCACACTATTATAGTGCAGAAAAACATGTGCAAAGAGTATGCTGAGAGTTAAGTTCTAATTCAAGACCATTAAACAGATTGAACTTGGGGAGTGGGAACAGCTTATTTAGACATAGGTATCTTACCCTGATTTGACATCGGAGTCTTAGTTCTGTCTCTAGACAAAGACCTAGAAACATAGGCATACAAGCTACGGGTAAATATTAGAGATGATTGAAGTCTAACTTCATACAGGAACATGACAACCAAAGACAAAAGAGGTCAACAAAGTTGAAAATAAAGTTGTAACTTTTCACAAAAGAGCCAACAAGCACAGTGAACAAAATGCTACAATACCACCAGGAAATTTAAGAATGTGCTTTCGAATAGCCTGTCTGCATTTGGTTTCACAGACTTAAACTCAAATTCTGCCCAAAGTAACAAGCTAAAGAAGCACCTTGCTGTCTTACATGAAGTATTGCCTTCTATACATCATATGCCAACTGCTACAAAGCCTCCTTACAAATTCTATGTAAGAGTGAGTTACCCAATTCCTCCTCACAACCAGCTGAAGAAAAGAACAACTGATAATGTGGGAAGGCGGCTGACATACATTTTTCTTATTTGGTCCTGAACCTCATTATTTGAAGCTGTATCCAATCAAAAGGCTAAGTACCTGATCTGAAAAACTTCCTGTTTTCTGAAAACAAAGATTGCATCTGTTTATAATAAGCCTTAGTATACATGTTGTAGTAGTTAATCCACCAGTTCTAGTTCTTCCTACTGTGAGGAAGTTTCAGAGATGATCCCCATACTGATATTCATGGATAAGAGAGTTTTGCTCTGTATTAATTTGAGCCAAATATTCATTGAGATATTTCAGAAATGCCAACTCACAGTCTGAACCAAGTGACAGAGCACAGGCCAAGTTAGACTTCATGGTTTCAAGCAATCTTCACTGACAGAACTACATTTTGCAGGGATCAAAAGCAATTTTCTTGTCTTGGATTACTGGTGTTTTCGGAAGGGGAAGGGAACGGATGGTCACAAAACTAGTAAATCATCATTGTCACTTTTCACCTGGGCAGGGAGGGGATAAGATACTATCAACGAAGCTTACCATCCTGCAATGTATTTTTTTTATCATTAGAAAGAATAGGCCAGCTTGCATCATTCACACAGAGGCTGATGAGCCTCAAGTATTCTACATAACTTGTGCTCTTTGCCTTTATCCTCCCCGAACTCTGCCCTGCCCCCATTGTGCCCTCTTCAGCTTCCTTTGGTTCTACAGTGTAAAGTGCCTCAGCAGTCTGTTCCTAAACTGCAGGTTTAGGAGTAAGGCAGAGTTCACATCATCACCTAGCAGAACAGATCTTAACGGTGCTGGAAAACTTCCCTTCACTGGTTTGTTAATAACAGTAATAGAGCTGAGGTTTCATGCCTCGCAGAGAATCATCACATTGCTTTTCATCAGCATCCCCACTCACTAGCATGTCATGGGGAGAGCTGTCACACGGGAGAACCAGCTGTGAGAAATCATGCAGAAAGTCCTCTTCAGAGGCTAGCAGCAGCTCATTCCATGCGGAGATGTCCAGCTTCCCTGAAGTACCACCATACTCTTCCGGAAGGATCACTGGAGGAATGTTTTGATGAAGGGAATTGAGATCACAGCCGTGGAGAAAAAACTGAAGAAAGCAAAAGATAGCTTTAATAGTGCATATCAAACACTTTACAGCAAGTTACTGAAACAGTCAGCTAACAAGCTTATTTTGAGCTAAAGAGCAAACTTTAGAAGTGATGTCTTTATGGGCAAGTGGCAGCATACAGCACTGGGCAGGTGCAGTTAGACACACTAGTGAGAGAAGCCTTGAGACGATCCAAGCCTAGTGCAGCTTAAATCCCAGCAAGAGAGACTTGACATTTCCTAGTCTGTGCAGAGGTTCAAAATTCAGCTTGTCCCCAGGTTCGTTCATGGGACTGGAAGTACTTAACCTTGTGGAAAAGGTGGAAAAAAGCATCATCCTTTGCAACTACATCCAGTCCTATGGCGAGAATATTAGTGCCATGCAGGACACGTATAAGGGAGAAGAGCAAAGGAGCAACACAGATTTCCTGTGACACCACCTCATAAACAAAGCGTTACTTGCCAAGATAATCCAACCCCAGGGATGGAATTAGTGTCCTCAATACATAGCATATGTACTAAAGATCCATACTAATGTTATGCCAATATTAAATTCCTCACAGCTTTTTTCTCGTGAAGAATTGGTCCCAACAGGCATATTTTTAAAAACTAAAGCAGAAAGGACCAGTTAGATCAAGTAAATGGCACCAATATTTTTCTAGCTGTGAGGCTTTTCAACAGTTTTTACTTGCAGCGGCCAAGCAAGGTACTTACAAACATTAATGTTAAAATGACACAAATCCTTACCCGGTTTGCTATCTTTTCCTTCAGAAAAGGCTTGATGATTGCAAAAATGCCTTTGAATATACGAGGCTCATTTATTATGTTAACAGCTTTTATTCGAATGGGGAATCCATCCTGAAGGGTAAAGAAGGTTTTTATAATGCAGTTTAAGAAACATTTGCCATCATCTTCTTTTTAAAAATCTCCTGAGACTGACTGCCAGCACAACCCACTGGCTCCCAAACTTTCATCTGAGGTAACAACATAAACCAATACGGCAACAGAAATGCACCTTGTAATAGGGAATAGTCTTAGGATGAGATCTGTGAGCATAAAAATAAAGTCAAGAGACAAGAAAACCTTGCATCGAGAAACATATTACTGTCAGTAAATCTTCATTTCTTATGCTGTTCTCCATCTCCCCTGATGAAGGCACTTAGGTAACCACCGTCCTTCGGGTATTCCCAGCCCTGATAAGGATGCAGTTACAAAGTGATGACCCTAGCTTCTGAGGGGTGCACCACGCTCAGAGCCAGAGCAGGCTGGTTGTAATGGTGTGTCCAACTACAAGACTTGGTGCCCAAGATACTCTAAAATGTGTTTTTATATAAGGAAGAATTCCAGTATCGCTATTTTTCTGCCCTTCCAACTATTCTGTCATGCTAACTGCAAAAGACAACCAGGCTGTGCTGCCAACAGAACACACAGTGTCTCCTATAGAAGACAATTTAAAACAGTTAGTTATGGGATTTCTGCTGGAGAAATTCATTTGCAGAATCATTTTTCCAAGGCAAAAGCTCATGATCAGCAATTAAGGTCTCCTGTGCCACAGTGAAGTTCCTTTCCCTTATAACCAGCTCTACATACACAAAGCAAACAGTCAATGCTTGGAGCGGAGAGCAGGTAACATGCACTGCAGGAGTATTTTTCCCCTTATGAAGGTCGGTGAATTAGCTCACCTTTATAAGAGATGCAGCTCAGGAAGTTTGATGCAACACGTTTATGCACCACCCATACCTTTATGTCCTTTGACAAGTTCAGCTTTTGTTTTGTGAATAGCTTCCACTAATAACAGCGGGACACTCATCACTTTATTTGTGCAAATTAAATATGGGCTCAGACAGTTAAATGACACATTTAGGTCATAATTTAAAGGAGTGAGTTCTTACATAGGCATTCACAAACTCACTAGTCTCATTTCCGTAAAAATCCCCTGATTCCCCCTACCCCTTCCTTCTCCCCTCCCAGATACAACAAAGAACGTAACCGGCTCAGGCCAGAATAAAAGTAATGGGGAAATGAACCCATTCAAGAGAAGTTTTCCTCATCTCACTCCTCCAGATAGCATGGTAGAACAGCACGTAAAATCATCAGACCTTCCTGCAACTTGGCCAGGTTACTCCTCACTCCTTTCACCTTCCTGTTTTGTACAACTCCACCTGTGCTTACACCCTTGCTCTAACTTGCTCTCCATCATTTTCCTTCCAAACATCTAGTCAGAGATCCTTTTTCTTACTGTCTCTTTTGCTGCCCCCTATGCTGAAGAAGCCTCTCTTCCTTCAGGGAGTGGATGGAAATCCTCCTCAAATCACACCCATTCAAAAGTCCTCTCTGCAAAATTTTTGCAGCAGTACTTGAACTTGCACTTGCCCAGTGGTCAGCTCCATCTCAGCTGACAGGAACCATTTAAATAATGAGCCATTCCTCAGCATTCAGGAAAAACGGTGTCTTCTCTCTAACTGTAATTCACTGCTTGCTCTCTTCCTTGCCGCTACCTAGTGGAACTTCTTTTTTCTGTTCCAACTCAAAGTTTGCATTTCTAATGCAAGTTTAGTTTTAGGGATGCAAAAGTCAAAAAAGGGCAAGTGAGGTAAGTTGGCAAGGGTGTGAGAAACTGGCTGGGCAGAGACATGTTTTAACTCTGCTAGTAAAAGCCAAGACGCTTAAGTTTCTGGTGACATAGTCAAGAACTCTAGACACAGAAGCAGTCATTTACAATGCACAAGCTTATTTTCCCACCAGTTCAGGTCTTACCTGAAGAATTCCAATCACTTTTTTGGCTACAAAAGGACCAAAATGAGACGCCTTAGATAAGCTGACTCCTTTGTAGTCTGCCAGGATTACAATTCCATTCACCTGGGTCTCTTCGGACTGAATGAGTTTTTCTAACGTTAAGTATATGGCACGAATGTTCTCAGTAATCGGATAATTACTGGGTGTCCATCTGTCTGAGGTTACAAGACATGGATGGTAAGTCGGAGAGTAAATATAAGCTAACAATACACATTCCAAAAACTGATTTTCTATTTTCCTGGACTCTTAAAAGTTAGTCTTTAATAGCCACAGTCCTAGTTCAGAGCAGCCTTTCTTAAGCAAGAGATAAATGGCAACTCATGTTTACTTCAGGGAGCAAAGGCAATGGTTTTAAGAACCCCGTTCTCCACCCAGCGCAGCTTATTAGAAGCAGTTTCAGCTCAGAAAGAAAGCAGGTAAATGGAAAAGAAGAGAATGAATGAAGACAAATTTACAGCAAGCCTGGCAGCACCAAAAGCACACGGAAGGCTCTGATTGTTTACAGGGGAGTCAAAGCCATAGGCTCCTCTCTCCATTTATTGCCAAAACAAATTACAAGCTTCTAACTGTAGGTCAGCAGCCCTGTTTCAATTTGAGTTACTACACATTACTTTTTCTTGCATCACCTAATATTTCATCAACCCACCTCACTGCATTTTCATTTCGACATAACTGCAGTTATTGCTGACGCAGGAGAAGGAACTGGTATAACGTTGGCTAACGACAAACATGTCCCTTCACAAGTTAGCTTTTCAAATTTCAAAGAGAACCCACGTACTCTGTGTAAGTAACCACTGTTCACAGGAGAGCAGGAAACAGATTTTTGGCCCAGACACACCTCGAAGACAGAGAACAAAGACATTCATGCATTTCAGTACCTGGACGGATGCAGACGACATGGCGTCCCTCTGGGTCCAGACGAGGCAGCACAGTGACAAAACCAGACTCTAGGACAGGCTTTATTGCGGACGGCTTCAAGTTATTGAAGACCTCAGGCCAGCTCCTCCTACAGGTGTGGTAGTTCACCAGAAGCTGAAGCGCTCGATCATAATCAAACTTCCTGGCTCTGAGGAATCTTAGCAAAAAAGCATCGTCCAGGCAGGTCCCCAGGGAGGGATAGTCTTTGCACACCATATCTCGGAGTGCCTGCACATCACGGAGCCTCCATTCAGGTTTCTCTTGGAGCTCTTCCCGGGCTTTGGTAACGAGATCAGGAGACAGCGAGCAAACATACTTTGGCCGATCTGGCAAGAACTCGTTGTCCGATGGAGACCCCGCTGATGGACTTGTCCTGGTGCAGTCGCTGTCTCCTGACATAATGTAGCAGGAATCTGTCAAAAACCAAGCGCTACACATGACAAACAATCCTATGGACTAACAAGCATATTTATTATTTACATAGTTATTATGTCCTATATCCCTCCGTTTCCCGGCTGAGGAGACTGCCCTTCCAAGAACCGGCACTACAGCCAGCAGCACAGTTCAGGCATTTTAATTCTCTTCCTAGGATTAGAAAGTGCAGCGTCTCTAATCTCTTTATCTTGCATAGCGGGTAGAAAACTACCTTGGATGAAACCTAACCAAAAAAAAAAAAAAAAAAAAAAAAAAAAAAAAAAAAAAAAAAAAAAAAAATTAAAACACAGGATTACACAGCTTCTTACACAGCTTCATTGCAAAATACAGAATTTAATTTGCCTTAACATTTATTTCCTATGTCCAATTAGAAACTAAAGCAAAGTAAACACATCCCAGTTAGGCAGGATTCTCACATTCGGTCAAATTACAGCCTCTTCTGAGAAACTCTCCTAGCTGAGCCCAGACAGCCGGGAGTTTTCATTAACTTCTCTGGCAAATACGTGCATCGATTAGCACGTCTGCCCACGTGAACGTTTTGAGCAATTCAGGAATATAAGAAATGGCTGCAGTTCACAGACTGGATGAGCAGGTGAGAAAATTACAGACACTTATGCTAGCACTGCATGGGTATTAAGGTAGGCTTAATCTAGTTTTCTGAACCGGGAGCTGAATTTCCAAATCCAGTAGCAAGTGGATGGAGACAAGTGAAAAATTATAAAACTACGAGCCTGGGTTACTTCCTGTAGCTTGAACTGGGACTGAAAGGGAAAAATACACCTTTTTTTCCTGCACTACTCCTATTCAGAGTCACTCACAGCACACTGTACCACTCTTGGGTGTCACACAGGAATCGCCTGTCAGAATAATACCTGTCCCACATAACCAGCTTCCTCCTGCAGTGAGAGACATCTGAATTGCTTACTTCTACCACACCTTCCCCAGGCTCCTCGGGGAAGGTCCCGGGGTGCCGGGATCACTCACAGGGATGTTCTTCACCTCATTACAGCCTGGGCTCAGCAGGACCCAAATCCTTGGCCCCTGCCCTGACAGCCTGAATGTCTACCTGCAGGCAGCACAGGAGCCCCTGCGCCCTGCCAGTGCTCCTGGCACTGAGGTGGGCACAGGGGCCAGGAGGCCCCCCCAGCCTCTCAGCTCCAGCATTACCCCCCCACAGCCCCTCAGCTCCAGCATTACCCCCCCACACACCCCCTCAGCTCCAGCATT